GATGTGTAAAGCTACTGACAGGTACGACAGGACAAACACCCTCTGTCTGGTCATGACAAACCTTAATTTTGAGTTGCATGTAGCTCCCACAGCACACAGAAGTGGGACTGCCCGAGTGATAATGCACCTGCACTAGGTGGCTAGGCTGCCATTAAACTCCCTGATCAGCACAGTTGATGGCATCTCAGGGACTAGCCATTTCATTCTAAAGACACCCAAAGAGTGTGAATCATACCCTAAATCTTGATGACACCTGTGGGAGTGTAGGCACCTTGCTGACATGTAGACATCCTCATTGTAAAGGTCTGAAGTTTAGTGAACTGAATCCAACCATCACCTGTTTTACATAGTCCTCAGATTACACAGTGGTCACTACCACACTGAGGATCTACGGAGCGACGGTGGGACTTGTCATATACACTTAGGATCAAAATTTCTTTATTGATCTTTGACTTGAAATTACGTTGTCATTTTCTTTGAGCTCTTTTTTCTCTCTCATTCCTGCCCCCCAACATGCACACACAAACCACATGCACACCGCATGCAAAATTAAAGCTACAGCAGACATCAGCCTGAGGGCTAAGCTAGTGTTCCTTGTATACAAGGCCATTATGGAAATAGGAATGGAAAATTTCAACGAGTCACCATCAATAACAACCAGTGCAGACTCAAATGTCTCTAACTTGTTGAAAGCAAGTCTAATCAAAAATAACCTGGAACATTTTTGGACTTGTTGGGAATACTTGTGGGTGTGGCTGTAATATGTTTAATCTGAGTGCTAGGGAGACTTCCATCCTTTTTTTATGCTGCAAGTTTGCCAGGACAGATTCATCTTAATTTGACACAAATTCCATTAAAGACATTTATTATGGACAATAAAAGTGCAGGAATATACTATAAGAAAATGCATCTCTGAATTTAACAATGCATCAGGAAATAGGCCACTGATGCTAAATGTCTCAGCTCTAAACACCGAGGTCCAAAGATTCTGCAGTGTCTTAAATGGCTGCATCACACACATCATTTGCTTTGGAGCGTGCAGGTCTGGAAGAGAAATTTTCCCAGGAAACTGAAGCATGCTGATAATAACACTCAGAAGCCTTGTTTCAACTTCTCTATACTATTTTGTTAGGAATCACACATACTGAGAGATATAAAAAAATAAGCGCAGTATAGCGTTTCTGTGTACCTTGCTTTCTAAACTCCTTAAATAATAAATAAAATAAAAGGTGGAGTAAAAGACAACTGATGTGGAGCCTGCTGCACCCTGCCTCTCTGCGTGATCCGTCCCACCCCTTCCGGTCGGGATGACTCCTGTGCTAAGCCTCTCCTCCTCACCTCCCAATCCCAAAGTCTGCAGAAGAGTTGAAGAGCACCTGGAAACTGGATGGGCAGCAGCAAGAGCAAAATTGTCAGCAGAACTGGTTTTCTTCTTCTTGTGTTTAGAGAAACCTAGCTGGTATCTCTCTGAGCAGAAGCAGCGAGCTGGCCTAAACCGGGATCCTGTACTCCAGGTATGTGATGGCAAACTGGTCCACAAAGACTAAGTTGGTAGCAGAGAAAGGCTAACTACTGTTAATTGTTTTGAAAGGGAAAAATCTGCAATTGCTAAGCAGTTAGATATAGCTCTTTGAAAAGGCATGAAACATTCAGCAAAACCCCATTCCTTTAAAGAGAGACTTTTATTTTTATTTCAGTAAAAATGCACAAAGACAAGTATTAGGGAGCGGATAAGGTGAAGATAAAGGGTGTCAACTTTGGGAAAGACTGGATTTCATTTTGAGTGCTTGTGGCAAGCTGTGGCACAGCAATAGTTCTGAGGGCACTGGTAACCATTTTACGTCCATCAGTAGCAAGATCACATTAAAGGACCATAGTAATTTCTTTTGCCCTTAGGGTAATGAATTCCCATTCTTTTCCTTCTTTGGTCCATTGGAGTGCTTACCATTGCAATTAATTATTGCTGGAGTTTAAAATGTTATCATTGGACCCAGGGAAACATCAGAGATATCACATCTTGGCATCGCTAGACCAAGGTCCTGCCAAACAGCACAGCACTTTGAGATCACGTGCTCATACTCACTTTCTGAGAAGTGAGGATTGTCCTTCAGGACTATCTTTGCCCCTGTTTTATCTGATTTTTTTTTTTTTTAATGATTTTTAGCCCCATCTCCCAAGTAGGGATTCGTTTTTTCCTATTGAAAACTAAGACTCAGCGGGATTTAACCACGTGATTTGTTGCTCCCTAAAAATGTCATAGTTTGGGTCAGTCTACCACCTGAGGGAGCCCACCTTTGCCTTGTGATAATAGTAAATAACTCTCCTCAGTTTTTATGTTACTTGCACGAAAGCTGAATTGTATCAAGACACACAATGAAGAGCAGAACCACTGGTGAGAAGCAGAAGATATTAGAAGGCCTTCTCTTAACAAGCAGAAGGATGACAGCAGATTCATAGATATCACTCTTTTTTTTTTTTTTTCCCTGTTAGCAGTAGTGAGTTTTTGCCCTGTTCCTAGCTTTGTGCCAGGTCCCACATCTCTGTGCTGGAGCTCAGTGATGAGGAGCGGGGTGTAAAGGCGAGATATTGCCTGCTTGGAACCATGCCATGGGGAATGCAGGAAAAGGAAAAGTGTAATGGCTGAAAGTGGTGGGAAGAGGGAATGAGGTGAAACAGGACAGGTAGGAAATATCCTGGCTTATTGCTTTGCCACACCGTGTTGCATGGGACAAAGCAGGCGGGAACAAATAGAGCTTCTGACTGAACAGGATCCCATCAAAGACTTCCAAGCAGTTCAGGTGTGGCTGACTATTTACTAATGTTCTCCATAGCCTGGTGCCTGGAGGAGAGCCAGCTGGCTCAGCATCAATCAAGACAGGCCAAAGAAATGATTTCTGGGAAGCAACCAACAGACAGGCGGTAGGCTGTTTCACTACTATTGCAAAGCTTCGTGCCTTCTAAATACGACTTCCTTGAAGGGGACACCATAGGTTGTGCCCTTCTGAACAGATGACCTTCATGGGGCAAGATTGTGGCTGCCACCTCAGAAGCCATTGTGTCAGCTGTCTTTGGGAGTGCCTGTGAATTCTCCAGGCAGTTTCTTGCACTTCAACAAGCTCATTCATCTTAGGTTAAAAAAACAGAAGTAGGAACTACTTTTAATAAACAGACATGTTCATGTCTATTATGGGAGGCTTAAACTAGGAGATACTCTCCCATGCATGTTACAACTTCCACTGTTGTACAATTCCAAAACAATGGAGGTTTTGGTCCTGAAGATCAGGCTACTTTATACTTCCTAGCACCAACTCTGACATTCAGATGTTGAGAAAGGTAGGAAAGCAATTAACAAATATAATCAGCTCTTAGTTATCAGCACAGGGGATTACTCAAGATGTGAGATCATCCACTACATGGCTATTTCTGAAGCAGCTTGATTCTAGCAGTATAGCCACATTCGCCCAGTTCCTGTATCTCTGCACTTCACTCTTATCAGCCAGGGGTTCTGGTTGCAATCAAGAATATTTGCCCAAATTCAGCGCTGGCCCCATCAGATCTGGTGATAGCAGCCCCAGGGTTGGGAAAGGATGAGGAAGAACAGCGTCTCTGCACTATTCATTAGGAAGGCTGATTATCTTGGGTATAAGGCAATTTAAATGCATATAAAGTTTGGATGCTGTTCCTGAGCCTGTGTTAATCATGCAAGCTGGGAAGTGCTGTGTAAGGCACAAGCAAGTGGTGAGTCTCTGCGGCATTGACTCTCTGTTCTTCAGCCTGTGTGCACCATGGTCCCAGATGTGTCCGTATTGCCTAGGCAAAATATCCCATTACTCAGTGAAACCTAGCTCTCCACTGCTGTGGTTAATGGAGAGCTGAGGAAGGTGTGCATTTTTACCAGAATTTGCTGCACTTCCATGAAGACTAGATAGTTTTCTGAAGTACATGTTACAACGCAAGCAGCAATAATAGGCTGATGTAGAAATGATGAAGCAGAGACAGTCATACTGTACATGCAGGTGTGTGTACTGCATCCCCAAGGACACTTCCAAAGTCAGTACGTGGCTAGGAAATGCTACTATTAACACTGCCCCTGCAGACTTAATTGGATTCTTTGTATAGATGCATTATAGCACTACTTTTAATTACAGGACCACATTCTACTTTTGGCACAGAGTCCATTCCAAGCTCCTGACACAGAGAGTCAGAACAACTTTTGACTTTAATCTCTCTAGCACAGCTACTGGCTCATTGTCTGTAATTGCTATTTTTGGAAAAGGGACAAAACCAAATACTCTCACATATTTTGAATGAGATTTGCATATCTGCTTGTTTTCTTGCAACCCCTTTCAAGGGCATATTGGCCCAAGGCATTGAAACCTAATTTACAAATCCATACTGCAGTCCTTCACAACTGCGCCTGATACCTCGGCTCCCAGAACAGCTGTGAAGCTGCTACTGAAAGCACAGATTAGTTAGCAGGGGCCAGTGCTGAGAGAAGCACTGAACACTGTACTTTTCTGTAGCAGTTGAGTGCTGTGGTCCTTACCCACCACATAATTCAGAAAAAACCAGCATGGGATTCCCATTCCCCATGAAGACAGGTGTGATGGCCCCATGCCTGGGGAGAGCGCGATGTCTGAAGCCATACTGCTTCACACCAGTGCTGACAGAGTGGCATGGGAGGAAATCAAATGTGACATGAGAGTCAGGACCTTCGTGTGCAGGTTGCTTGTCATTTTACAACTTTGCTTTTGGTATTTCTCTTCATTCTCAGCTTAATAACACAAAATGGATTAACAGCCATTCTGCACTGGAACATTGCTTTTGTTTTTTTCTACTTTCTCCTTTCAGATAAGGATGTCAATGTTATTTACAGAAGTTATGGAACTACTTTCTGCAGATCGTATTTGCCTTTATTTGCCCTTAATAGTTGGTGTTAAAAAATCATTTTGACTTTCTTGCTTTCTTTTTTTTTCTTTCTTCTTTTTGTAGGTTTCCAAATGGCTGAGCCTTTCCTATACGATACTGGAAAAAGATCTCAGTATGGGTGCCTTGGACATGAAGTACAAATTGAGCACATCAAGGCATATGTTTGTAGACCATCCTTTTTCACAGACAAAGCTGTGATTGTGATTCACGATATATTTGGATGGCTGTTCCCAGACATCAGATACATAGTCGATTTGATTGCCAGTCATGGATACATGTAAGCAACTGTCTTTCCTATCTTCCTCTGAAATGCACCGACAGATGATCAGGCCCAAAGCTAAGCATGCCACATGACATTTCCCATACACATAGGGCAACCATACCATTTCAGTCTGAGCAAATAAAAATGCAAAGGCCACCATGAGGCCACCCAATGTTCCCATGAGGCCATCAAAGCTACTAAAATTGACCCATCAGAAATGGCTACCTGAGCACAAAGCCACATGGAGAGTCATGAAGTGCCAGTGTTTGTGCTTATGTGGCAGTATGGGTGATTAAAAGATAAATATTGGTATCTATCTTTAAGTTGTATAAGCTTTTCACAACTAAAGCTTTTGAACAGTTGCTTTAGCTTTTACTAGCAAAGAGATATACATGTGTTTATAAAGAATCAGGAGGGTTGCTTAATCCCTAAGGAAATAATGAGAGTTTATTTGTGTTCGGGGTTTTGTCTTTTTTGCATAGAAAGACATATACTTGTAGCTCTGCTGATTGCCAACACAGGTTGATGATTCAGATAGTAACCATGTAGACGTGTACCCTGGAGTAGAAAAGACATTAGGAGACATTTAGACATTCACAGATTCTCCCCGCCTGGACATGAAAATTGACTTGATTCCACGTCTCACACAGAACCATCTGCCCAGACTTCTTCAAGGGGACAGAGCCCTGGAAAACTACTGATCACTGGGCTGACTTTGCTGACTGGATGAAAGATCATGATCCTATGAAAGTAGACAAGTAAGATGCATATTTGTACATCCAGCAAATGAGGGGAATTTGTATGAAATGTTAAAAGTGGCACCTCACAGCAGGGCAAGCTGGCTGCACACACACAATTGCTTATTCTGGGCAGTTCTTCGGTGGTTCTGGGCACTGTATTGGTTGGGATTTGGAAAGGATCATCTGCTCCATCCATCACTCTGCTTACTGTCCCCATCTTGTTTTCCTGGGCCCTCTTCTAACTATGTCATACCGGCCACACAGGCTCATAGCCAGTGTTTCACAGGCTATGAAATACTCAGCACTGTCACCCACAAGTGCTGATTCTGCCTCTAGTTCCTCAAGATAAGGAGGAAAACTCTTCCACAAGTGCTTATGTTATCTGCCAGTTGTCACTTGCCCATCTTGCTTTCCACCTTGCAATAGTGATAGGTGCAGGTGATATTCTCCTGAGCAGCACTAGATCAAAATTTACAAGACTGCCCAAAACCTAAGGTACATCTGATCAACTATACTGTTTTTCTCAATGTGAAAAAGAGGGCCCACTCTCTGTAGAGCCTAGCAGTTCCTGTAACAAGGCTTCCCTGAATTACGGGAGGCATTACTGTTTCTTCATCTGTCAGCACAGCCTAAAACTGCAGAAGATGATAGTGAGGCAGTGACACCCTATTACTCAGCTATCATTTTGCAAGCCACAAGTATTCTTCTGTCCCTTTCAAAAGGACCCAGTGGTCACAGCCTAATTTCAACATCTCTCAGCAAAGCTTTTGACCATATAGTTGCAGAAGCTGTGACTGAATTTTTTGAAAGACAAGTGACTAACACCTATAAAAAATCCTTCTTCAAAGATTGAGCAGATACGTGGGCACTGTCTTAAACCATTAAGACCTCAAGGACATGCCTGTGCTGTCTTTTGAGGGTTCACTTGTAGCTGCCCTCACGGTTAGATCCATTGCTCTTTCAGAGCACAAAGAATGCGACACACTCAGGACTTAGTACCCTTCCAAACAAATCAAATCTGAGAGAGCTCATCCATTCACAGCTACAATGCTACAGGCCTAGGACACCATCTCCTGATTGTGTCACTCTCATACTGCTTTTATATCAGCCTAACCAAACCTGCGATGACCATACTAATGTGCATAATATTTGAAAATATAGTTATGAGTATATGCAGTCTGCATTTAAAATTCATTTTAAACTCTGTAGATAATAAAAGAGATAAAACTATTGAGACCTAGGAAGTTAGCAATTAAAAAAAGAAATAAATTACCTACTCTGGCCTACATTAAAAACAATTTGCATATTTTTTGCATTATACCTCATGCAATACCTGCTTTTTTAAACATTAGAGTTACTGACAGTTTAATTTTGAGTAATTGCTACTTTAGTATAGTATTATTGCATCCGGGCTTGGTAGGATGTTTTAATATTAACTCATGCAACAGGAATGACATACTCCAGATAAATCTTTATCTATATAGGTGGACTCTGTAGACATAGCACAGTGAAGCTTATCTATTCCTGCAATCCATAATGCAAGATGTTGTTCTACTTGCAGATATGTCTTGTCTTTAGTTGTCCTGTCCTAGACAAAGTGATTCAATTAAAAATTTGCTTCTTTTGAAAACAAAGGAGCAGGTCACAATTCACGTAAGTATTTAAGTACCTACACCTGTACTTCCCTAACTTAGGACCAGAGATGTTAACTCCCATTTAAGAATAGAAGCCACTGCTCTGGGATGAAATGTGTTTTTCAAGTATTCTGTTTTAAATGATTGGGGGTGCAGATGCAGAAAAATTCATGTATGTCTTTTAATTTACTTCTTAAATTGTCAAGTATTTATTCTGCAATAGATTCCTTAGTTTACTTTTGTTTATATGTCTTAGGGAAGCTGATGTTGTCTTGAAGTATCTAAAGGAACAATGCGATGCAAAGAAGATTGGTATCGTTGGGTTTTCCTGGGGTGGAATGGCAGTACATCACTTGATGCTGAAAAATCCTCAATTAACCGCTGGGGTGTCCCTCTATGGTAGTGTAGAACACATGAAAACTTGTATGGGCTCACACCACTATGCATAGTTTGTAAGTCTAGTTATTGCTTTGTAACAATTTCTGTGAATACTCAACTCAAAGGTGAGTTGGAGATTTTAATTATGATAATTGCAGCAATATGCTATACGGGTATCAAAATTTAAGAATGGTGGATTCCAGAAAAAAATTGTTTCCTTTTGCACAGAAATTACCTTTTTTTTTTTTTGTGCTTGGAGAGTGGGGAAATATATTTTCCAAATGCTTTTCTCTCCATTGGAACAGAAACTGTCTGGATCTAAAAAAATATATTTAATAAGTAAATAGCAATTTTGTCTCTTAATTTGCCATTTATCTAGCAAGACTGTTAACTTCACTAACAGCAGACTGTTTCTCAAATACATTACAGGAATAATTAGGGACTCTGAAGAAAGATACGATTTACTAAATCCCACGTTTTTCATTTTTGGTGAGAAAGACCACACTATTTCTTATGATCAGGTAAGTTGCTATACTGGAAATGATTTTTCTTTTCCCATAGTTCTTTTATTCCACACAGAAATCCTAGCTTGTTAGAAAACGTTTTTGGGTACACGAAATCGACAGGCTGGATTGTTTTGCTTATATTTTAACTTACCCCCTATCTTGCTTCGGTTATTCAAAGCTTCTTTTGTGAAGCGAGAAATACAGTAAAGATCAGTCATCAGTCTCTGAGTGGTTGGACAAGCGGAGTGTGAAACTGGGCAGGGAGATCCAACTGGTATGAGCCAAACACGTCAAGAACTCGGATATTACTGCTATGGTTGAGGCAACAGGGAGTTAAGCTACTGGATTTAGACTTTGAATGGAAAAAAAATAATCAGCCTAGTAACTGAACTTTCTGATGATGTGGACCAATGACTAATTGCTTTTGGTACACGAAGACAAAATGAACTGTGTCAGAAGAGTGGGCGTGAATTTTAAGTAAGACAATAACAACTTTTGAACTCTGTTTTGACTCCTGGCTGCCATCTATATTCTGACATAACCCCTATTGCAAGCATATCTGAAAGGCTGGATAAATATACGGGTAGGAAACTGGTGCCCTCTTCTGTGCAGAAATTCTTTCTCTTCAGTGACAAGGATAACATACCACCTCTAGCATAGTTTGTTGTGTAGGAGTAGGGTCTAACTGGGGAACTGGCAGTGTGCTCTGGGAATGCAGAAACCAATCATTATTTACTGCTGTGTTATTCAGCATGTTGATCTGTACCTCAAATATGTGTCTCCTCTGCACAGGAAAACAAATTCTTCACTCACTGTCCCCTTTTTATGGTGAAAGTGGGTTTTTTTTCCCCAGGGGCACAGTTTTCATAAATACATTTTTTCCATCATACGTTACACATTGAAACCATACCTTTCTCTCCTGACGCTTTCTCTCTGAGCTATCTGTGCAGATTGCGTAAGAAAAATTACTGCATTTAAAAAATAAAATAAAATCCTCAAATACATTTTTTTTCTGCACTGAGCAACAAAAGGCTCCGTGGAAAAAAATGTGAAAATGAAATAAATTACAGTACTGTCTCTAATCTGCATGATGGGTAGAATTAACTTGCAGGGGCAAAATAAGTGATCATTCTCCTTTTTTCTGACTTTTTAATGGAAATGAGCACAAAAATGTGTCTACACATGTGTACAGGTACATAATCACATGGTAAGTACACACATCTGTGTGTACGCATGTGTGTACTTATCATCAACAGATTGTGCAGGACCTGTGTCTTTTTGTTATATACAGTAAACTAAAAAAACCCACAAAACCAAACCCTGTGTTTTCTTAAAGTCTCTTACTAAGCCTATCAAAACATTTTGGACTGAGAATCACTGAGGTTTAGGGAATATGTTATCTCAAGATCAGGGCTTAAAATTAGGTTGCAAACCATAAAAAGTCTCTGAATAGAAATGCACCTGTTCCATTATGGCAATGAGATTACCAAACCATCTCTGCAGTAACTGCTGGGTTCTCAGACTCAGCCATACTTTTAAAAAAACATTTCAGTCTTGCATTCCAAAGAGGGGTTTTCTCATCTGTTGAGCGACAGAACCTGCTTCAAGTGTGACAGCTGAGAAAAGACAAAGATGTAGCAATATGAAAAACAGCAAGTTTGGCAAACTTAAAAAAAAAAAAGCCATGATATAATGGAAAAATGCTTCCTTTTACAGATCACTTTACTGGAGGAGAAGTTGAAACAGTATTGTAAAGTTGCATATAAAATTAAAGTTTATCCTGGACAAGTTCATGGATTTGCACAGTTGAAGCCAGAAGATATGAAACCTGATGATAAACCTTACATTGAAGAAGCTAGAAAGGATATGATTGATTGGATCAAAATATTTATTTGACAAAAGCGTAAAGTAACACTAGGCTTTAAGATCAGTATTGGATTTAATTAAATTTTAGAGAAGAAAATGGTCAAGGGAAAACTATCTGGTTTTAAAAATTGTCACAAATAAAAATAGGACCATTTTAATTTATAGTTCTTAATTATTTTTTAAAGGATTTACACAAGATTGCAAAATCAAAGTTGGACTAAAGGATGATTAGGCATTAAAAGTTGATTGAATTTATCTTGCTTTGTATTTGCCTCATTATTCTGCATTATGACATCAATAGTAATGATATTGTTTATTTATTTGTCTATGGTAGTGAGCATGACTTCATCCTAACTTTACCTGAGTAGTTTCATGATTTATTTTGGTATGATGATTGGTGGTCATGGAAATACCCTGGTTTTGCATACAGACTTTTTTTTTTATTAACTACAAAGCATTTTGCCTCAGTCTTCACTGGCAAATGCTTAA